CTCCTTTTTATTCGTGTTATCATGATTCGTAATATTCTGTGTACCCCATGTATTATGAGTAGTGTCCGTAGTATCACTTTCATGAGTAGTAGCAGTCGTAGTGTGGTTCGTATAAATTAAATATATAACAGAATTAGTAGAATCACTAGTAGTAGTAGTATTGCTAATATGTTCGCACCATCTACTATAACATTGTTATCATTATTAACATAAGTATCGCAATTCGCGTTCGTAGTATTAAGAGCGATAGTAGTATAAGTTGCCTGGTTGGTATTATCACCATGCTTGCTAGTATTATTGTTACTGGTATATTTAGTATGGCTACGACTGATAGTATTAGTAATGTCGCTATTTGTAATAGCATAAGTCGAAATAGTGTTGATGTTGGTAGTGTTAGTATTCGTAGTAATAGTGATGTTACTGTTGGTGGTGTTGGTATTAGTATTGGTGTTCCTTTTATTTTTGGTATTCGTAGTGTTGTGCTGTTGGTTATGGTCCGTAGTATTAATGCTATTAGTATGCAGTAGTAGTAGTAGTAGTAGTAGTAGTAGTATTCGCATGCTTAATACGAATAACCAAGAATATTGGCAACAGTGCACTAGTATTGCTATGATTAGTTGTAGTAGTAGTAGTACTATTATTCCTCTTCGACGTATGACTATTACTATTAGCACGATTATTCCTCAACCTCCTCCACAGTTACTCAACATGAATACTACTCTCCTCCTTCCCCTGATGACGGGTTGGGAGTGCTCGCCCCCCCCCCGCGTACTGTTTTTTTTACACACAGGATTCCCCGGAGTTGGGTTTTCCCCTGCATTTGTTTTCAAAATGCTGCTCTCGCTGAGGCGCCGGCCTCATTTTCGGGCCCCGCTCGTTCCGAATCGTGCTCCCGCTGCAGCGCTGGCCTCATTTCCGTGCTTCCGCTCGTTCCGAATCGTACTCCCGCTGCAGCGCTGGCCTCACTTCCGCGCTTCCACTCGTTCCGAATCGTGCTCCCGCTGCAGCGCTGGCGTCATTTCCCACACCATCACACGGCATGCAATGCAATGCCAGGTTGCGTTCCGCGCTGCAATGCAGTGCTTAAGTGCCACGTCGCGCTATGCCATGCTACGCTTTGATCTTCAACGCCATGCTATGCAATGTTATGTTCGGGGCCGCTGTGCGATGCCATGCTTTGCGTTGCAAAGTTTTGTGATGCAATTCTGCACTACGCCACGCCACGCCATCCTGTGACATACTACGCTTTGCGGTGCTCTTCTACGCCATGCCACGCCGTGCTCTACAATGCATCGCGTACCCTTTCGGGATCACTGCCCTGCTCGACATCCGACTGTGAGTAGAGAGGGGATCTACGCCATGGTAAGGGATGGGAGGGAGGGGTAGAATGTCAGATATGACGCGAGCGCACCTAGCTTGTCCTACCCCCCCTCCTCCTCCTCCTCCTACTCCTCCTCCTCCTCCTCCTCCTCCTCCTCCCCCGCTCCTCCTCCTCCTTACGAGTATTCTTGTTATCATTATTCGTAGTATCCTGAGTATCCCCATTTAAGGATAGTAGTGCTCGTAGTAGTAATCATTAGTAGTAGCATTCGTATTGTTAATAATATTAAAAGTATACTTAGTAGTATCCGTAGAATCATTAGTAGTATGATTGCCAATCTTATCGCACCATCTATGATAGCAGTGTTAGTACCATTCGTATTGCCATTATCACTAGTATTATTAAGAGCAGCAGTAGTATTAGTAGTATTATTGAGATTAACAATATGATTGCGAGTAATATTGGTATCCGTATGTTTAGTATGGTTACGATTCATATGATTAATAATGTCACTAGTAGTACTGGCATCAGTCGAGATAGTACTGACATTGGTATTGCGAGTAGTAGTAATAGTGATGTTATTGTTGGTGGTGTTGTTATGAGTTTGGGCGTTGTTATTATTATTAGTATTCGTAATACAATGTTTATGGTGACGGTCATTGATATTAGTGATAATAGTATGCAGTAGTATTAGCATGACGAATATGGATAACAAAAAAGATGGGTAACATGTGCACTAGCATTGTTATTATAAGTAGCAGCACGAGTATCCCTCTTCGTCTTATGACTAGTACTAGTAGTATGAATGTTCCTCATCCTCCTCCTCCTCCTACCCCTCTCCTCCTCCTCCTCCTCCTCCTCCTCCTCCTCCTCCTCCTCCTCCTCTCCTCCTCCTCCTCCTCCTCCTCCTCCTCCTCCTCCTCCTTCTCACTGCAAATGACTAAAACGAATGTGCGTGGCCCTGAGGCGATTGCATTTTGAAAAGGAACCGCCCTCACTCTTTGAAAACTCCTGCGACGATTTAAAACGATTTTGCGCAGCGCAAAGGCAAGAACCACATTTTGAAAACGCCCTGCCCTCAATTCGGGAAGCTCTTCCAATAGTTCACAACGAATGTGCGCGGCGCTGAGGCGAGAGCCGCATTTTGAATTTTACCCGCCCTCAATCCGTGAAACTCTTGCACGAGTTTGAAACGAGCCACATTTTGAAAACAACACGCCCTCGACCAGTGAAACTCTTGCAAATGTTGGAAACGAATGTACGCGGCGCTGACGCGAGAGCCACATTTCGGAAGCGACCCTATCTGTGAAACTGTTGCCAACTTTTAGGCTCCAGGATCATAATAGTAAGAAGATCAAGCGAAACGCCCAGCCCACCCTTCCGACCGGCCTCGGGATGCGGCATGGAGGATTATTTTTCCTCTCGCCCACAAGCGCACGTCCTTCATTTATATTCGTATAGAGAAAACCCCGCTCAACCACAGAGCGGCCTGCTAATTCTGGGTTTACTCTGGCCCTCCTCATCCTCCTCCTCCTCCTCCTCCTCCTCCTCCTCCTCCTCCTCCTCCTCCTCCTCCTCCTCCTCCTCCTCCTCCTCCTCCTCCTCCGTCGCCCTCCTCCTCGGCGAGATCGTCAATCCTCCTTGCCTGCCACTCCTCGTCGGAAATGACGACGACGAAGACGACGACGACGACAACCCTGTGTCGCGATCGCCGCCAGCGGCGGGCGAGAGGCACCCTCACAAGCCGCTCAGTCGTGGGAGTCGCTGACCTCATGGTCCGACTCGCTGGACACAGTCTGGCCTCAGCGGCACCAAGACGACCACCACCACGACGACCACGACGGCCGCGACCACGACGATCACGACGATCCAGGCTGTGGCAGAGCTCCCGAGGGAGGGGGGAGGGATCCACAATCCTCAGGGCCCCCTGGGGCTCCAGGCCCATGGAGCTGCTGTTCTGGCCGGAGCTACCCCCGTTCTTCTTCTTGCCACCGCGGCTGCTCGTCATGCGCTTCATCGCCTCGGAGGGAGGAGGGAGGAGGACGAGGAGGAGGAGGAGGAGCAGGAGGAGGAGGCGGAGGATGAGAAGGAAGAGGGAGGAGGAAGAGAAAAGAGGACGAGAAGGCCGAGTAGCAGGAGAGGGCAGGAGGGATGAGGAGGAGTAAGAGGAGCAGCAGGAGGCAGGCCTTCTTCGGCCTCCCTCCCTCCTGCCCCTCGCCACCTCCGCCTCCTCCTCCTCCTCCTCCTCCTCCTCCTCCTCCTCCTCCTCCTCCTCCTCTCCTCCTCCTCCCTCCTCCCTCCTCCCTCCCTCCCTCCCTCCCTCCCTCCCTCCCTTCCCCCAGTTATCCTGCATGATTGGCCCCTCCGACCCGTGCCCTATCTGAGCCTAACCTCACTCCGCTTGTGTTGTGGCTCGAGGGCGCCCTTGAGACCCAGTGAACGCTACCGGGTCCGACACAGCAAGGCGTGTCATCGCTGCTTCCCAAAGCACCTGGGTTTCATCGCCCACAAAGCGGCCACCTTGGTGACATACAGATATATCGAACAAGCTTTGCTGTGCTGGACAGAAGAGGTCATTCTCGGTCTGGTTCCACGGACTGGTTCGTCATGACGACAGAGAATGAGAAGAATAAAATTGCTCATTATTAGGATGGCGACGTTGCCGGCTTTCCTTCATGCGTCATGGAAGTGAAGCTGCACGTGCGCGGCACCAAGAAGGGCGCGGAGGGCTTGTGCGGCCCCAGGCTGATGCCCAAGGAACACGGTCGCGCATGGCAGGGAGTTCAGAAGTATGGCAAGATTGAAGACCTTGGACGACGTGGAGGAAGACACGACGACCAGGTTGCTCAAGGGAGTCAGCCAGCGGCTCAAGTACCTGAAGGAGAAGAGTGGCATCCTGGAGGTAGAGGACGCTGGCAAGTACATGAGGGCATTCACGAAGGAGACGCACTGCAAGCCGAAGACACCGATGAGAGACTACCTGACTCAGTTCGAGGTCGAAGAAAATAGGATGCAGAAGGCTATCAAGACCATCGATGGGAGTTTCGACGAGAGGAAGCCGATATTTCCTGAGCCACTCCAAGCATGGCTTCTACTCGAGAACGCAGGCTTCAATGATCATGAGCATTACCAGGTGTTGGCCTCGTGCAGAACAAACACGAGTATCAGCAGATCCAGCAGGCTCTCGGCATGCAGCTCGACACGAAGCATGAGCGTGACCACGGCCAGAGGCCGACGCAACGGCGCTGGCAACCACGGCAGCGCAACTACATGGCCGAGGGCGAAGATGACAAGCACTCAGAACATGATGATGAAGACCTGGATGATAATGGGTTGTACGAGCTTCTCCCAGAGACCGCCTCAGCTCTGGCGGCAAACAACAACGAATCCGCCTGAGCCGTGCCCCAGGACGGACCCTGGATGGGAGAAAGCACGGTGAGAGGGGGACGACGACGACGACGACGACGACGACGACGACGACGACGACGACGACGACGACGACGACAACTGGAGACGAGAGGGGCGAGGATGACGGGAGAGAGAACAGTGCGCTCGCAACATCAACATCTGACAATCCTACGGGATGCCGAGCCGCCGGGAGGGAGGAGGGAGGGACAGGCAGGGGCGAAGCGGACGCGGGGTGGCAGCTTATCGCCGTACTGGGCCACTTTGAAGAGAT